AAAAGTTAAAATTTACATATTATACCGATTGCATCATATGACAGTCAACGCACCTCATATATCGATTAATTATTTGAAGCACCTTACTTATCGATAGGCATCTGAGGTACATCGGCTGTCAACTGAGGTCCACGTTAAGTGTTTGTAGTGAGTGCTATACAGCATTTGTGTTATTCATTTCATTTCCGACCCATACCTACTCCGGAAGCAATTTCTCCTTTTTTTCAACGTACGTACATACGTACGTTGTCGAATATCTGAATGTTAATCAACCTAAATGGCGCATCCCATAGCATCTCATGGCTTGACTGATTAATGATGCATCTAACTTTCTTCAGGGTTATTTCGCCGAGCTAAAGTTGAAATAAAAGTAATGTGCCATTGAAAGTAGCTAAAAGTAGTATTGCTTAATCTACTTGTATGTATTGCCGTATAATATCACTTGGGCTTATATTACGTGTACGATTTATGTAAGTTGACCTTGTAAAAACAATTTAATCGAACCGCAAATCAGTTTAATGTATAATATTCCCGCGCACACTAAAATATAGAATGTATATTCAATTGTGTTAATTGTTTATAACATAGTGATAGCAGTAAAGATTCAAAAAAAAAAAAAAAAGAAACAATGAAAGAAAAATTGCCTTCTGGCGGAATCGAACCGCCGACCTTCTGCTATCGAGTAGAACTACTAGGCAGACGCTCTGCCAACTGAGCCAAGAAGGCTTATTCGTTACGACGTTTCAATTATATTATTACATATCTTTCTTTTTACTCCATTAAGGGAAAGGAACCAAAAATTAATGCTGTCGATCCCTTGGTCGTACTTTAAATGTAAAAAAAAGGTTAAGACCACATTACTGTACCTTGTAGATCTAACAGATAATTGAAAATCCGTTCGAATTGTTAAAATTCGAATTTATAATGGTCATAAAAAATAAAATTACTGTGATCTCATGATAAATTCAATTCAAAAATCAATATGGTTGTTAACGCACTGATATACAGTATTTACAATAATAAATACCTTGTTAATAAATCCTAGTTTTTTTTTTTTTTTGCTTACAATTCCATGGTAGCATGAACTTTATTGGCATTGGAAAGAAAGATTCATTTAAATAAATAATAGAAGGTATGAACTTTACAAAGAATTAACAAAATATAATATGAACCTGACTTTCATATTTTTGCCAATGTTAAGAGTTTTGACAACGCCCGATTATACGTAAAGTTAAAAGTTCAAGAGTTACCTTTTGAAATGTTTCATTGAATGTTGAATGACAAGTGGCTTGGTATAAATAAGTTCTGGTTTTTTTTTTACATGCACCTGTCGATATGTTTATATTGCACAGCCCTTCAATCATACTTTTAGAAGCCTTGTAACAATTATATATAAAAAAATGATATAAAGTGTTTACTAAACCCCGAAATTTTAGCAGTGCAAAGATCATTAAATAGTTTTACACATTTGAGTACTAGTTTTAAGCAACCACATACGTACTACATAAATAGTGACTTTCTAGGATGAGAGAAACTATTCAAGTCAATAGCTGTCGGAAGCCGTCACATATAATAGCCATTGCACTACTAATAATCACCGAGGTATTAGTAGAGTGCTTATATATATATACAGTATATATATATAACAATTAGGCATGACAAACCTATCTTCTGAGAAGATAGTGCGTAACGACTAGTGCTGATAAATAGCAATGGTACATTTTTCCTTAGTGTGAAAAAATTTTTTATTTTAGAAAAGTTCAAATGTATATTTATAAAATTTCTAATGGAGCAATAAATTGGAGAGGCGAAATTGCCCGATTACACTAGTTAGACTCTAAATTACTTCATATATCTGGTAGGCAAGTACGTACATAATATATAAATCCTGATGAAAAAAATTCATATCATTACTGTTAAAATATATTACAAATTCAGACTTTTTTAATATAAAAACCTTTGGCAGTACTTAAAACACAAAAGTTTGTTAAGTTTTTTAAGTTCTCTGATTCAAAATTTATATAATCCTTTTTATTTATTTGAAATTTCAACTTGTTAATAAAATAAAAATAGGCTATTTTCGGAATTCTATTTTGGCAACATACATGAATATGATTAAATATTTCCATGAAATTTATAATATTTGAGAAAATTGAATTTATACTATAAATTCTATAATCAATTAAATGAAAAATGTTTCTGGACCAATTTCGGATTAGTTAAGCTCAAAAAAAATTTTTTTAAAAAAATCGTTAATCTAGCTCATATATAGAGATACTTTTATTAAATCTAAATATAAGGGAAGGTATTGTGACACACTTAAGAGTTGCTTATATGAAAATTTCCAGAAAAGTATATTTATTCTTGAAATTTATTGAATAGATTAAACTATTTACCAATAAAAAAAATCGAATTTACAAAAAAGGTTGAAATAGGAACTTTCAAAATCTATTCAAAAAATTCTGTCTTTTTACATTTGGGGGTATTATGCGCACTATGTTCACTATGTGTTTTGTATTGTATTATTACATCCTTCCTCCGGATATTACCTAAATGAGGAAATATGTAATAAAAATTAAAAGATGCTTAATGATAGAATAAATAATATCGACGTTTACTTATAATTTTGTGGTTTAGTAATTAGAATTAAAAAAATATATATATTATTTGATTCGTCTCAGTAAGACGAATCTTATGGTACTAAAAATTTTCGATTCTGATCAGTGTTTCGCAGTATATATCATCAAAAAACACAAAGTGCGTCATAATACCCACCCGCGCCATAACACACTTATATTTAAAAACTATAGCATTTTTGTGCAGTTCCTATTAGTAGTTTTAATGATCCATATACTATAGCTAATTTTATACTGGTTTTCGTGAAGCCATCATATCAATATTCTTTGCTTTCATGCTCAGCAGAATTGAATCTAATTAATAATTTTAGATAGTCACGACATTATCCAAAGTATCATTAGATAAATTTTCTTGTAAAAAAACAGCGGTCATGAGTAGAATTATAATAAATAATTGTATCACATGAATTTTACAAATTTTTAGATAAATTTATTTCCTAATAATGTAGTATAAGAACCTTATTTATTTACAATCAAGAAAATTATTTCTATATTTTTGTGTATTTTTTTTTTTAAGGCAAATAATTATATTGCCTATTTATAGTAAATAAATTATAAAAAAAAGTGAATGGATGAATAAAGGTGGATAAACTAACAATTAAAATTAAAAGAAAAATTATGAAGAGCATATAATGATAAAAACAAAAACAAAAAAAATAATACTGTACCATTAAGTTGGATTTATTATATTTTTCAGACTAAATCTAAATCTAGATTGTTTACTTTCTCCTATTATACGTTCAATTTCACCAATATTTCTTATTGCACAAGCATCATTTGGTTCAATAACTAATAGTCGATTAAAATCTGCAAGGGATTCCTGATATCTGTTTATTATGCGACAAGTTTCACCACGATTTCTTAATGCCCATACATTATTTGGATCAATTCCTAATGATTTCGTAAAATCGACAAGTGAATCTTTATATCTACCCATCATATGGAAAGTTACCCCACGATTTATTAAAGCCCATACATTATCTGGTTTAATTTCTATTGATTTATTTAAATCCGTAAGTGATTCTTTATATTTACCTATCTTACGATAAGTTGCACCACGAATTTTTAATGCAAAAGCATCATTTGGATTAATTTTTAGAGCTTTGTTTAAATCTTGAAGTGATTCTTCATATCTACCCATCACACGGCAAGTTTCACCACGATTTCTTAATGTTCGTGCATCATTTGGTTCAATTTCTAAAGATCTAGTAAAATCTGTAATAGATTCTTTATATCGACTCATCATATGATAAGTTAATCCACGAATACTTAATGCACATGCATCGTTAGGTTCAATCTCTAATGATCTATTTAAGTCAGAAAGTGATTCTTTATATCTACCCATTTTACAATAAGTTGCACCTCGATTTATTAATGTAAATGAATTATTTGGTTTAATTTCTAATGATTTATTTAAATCTACAAGTGATTTATCATATTTATTTATTATATGATAAGTTATTCCACGATTTCTTAATGCTTCAGCATTATTTGGATCAAGTTCTAATAATTTATTTAAATCATCAAGTGATTCATTATATCTACCCATCATACGATAAGTTATTCCACGATTTATTAATGACTCAATATTATTTGAATCAATACTTGATAATATTTTATTTAAATCTTCAAGTGATTTATCATATATTCCCATCATACGATAAGTTATTCCACGATTTCTTAATGAATCTAAATTATTTGGATCAATTCCCAATGATTTATTTAAATCGGCAAGAGATTCATTAAAATTTCCCATTTTACGATGAACAGTACCACGATTAATTAAAGCAAATATATCATCTGATTTAAGTTTTAAAGATTCGTTTAAATCAGAAAAAGATTCATTATATTTACCCATTAAAAGATAAACCTCACCACGAATCTTTAAAGTAAAAGCATTATTTGGTTCAATTTCTAAAGATTTATTTAAATCTGCAAGGGAATCTCTATATTTATTCATCATACGATAAGTTGCACCACGATTTCTTAAAGCAAATGCACTTTCAGGTTGAATTTGTAAAGATTTATTTAAATCATCTAGAGATTCTTTATATTTACTCATCATACGATAAGTTTCACCACGATTTCTTAAAGCATTGGCATTATTTGGATCAATCTCTAAGGATTTATTTAAATCTTGAAGTGATTCTTCATATCGACACATTTTACGATAAATTATTCCACGATTTCTTAACGTCTTTGCATTATATGGATCATTTTTTAATGAATCATTTAATTCTTCAAGAGATTTGTCGTTGACTTCATGAATTTCTTCACTAATAACATGTTTTTCTAGTACATCTATAAATATGGAGAATTTATAAAAAGAATTTATAAAAAGAATTATACTGTAGAGTAAAATAATTAGATATAATATAACAAACCTATAGGAAGATATTCATTTGGGGAACTATCAATTTTATGATTTTGATCACTATCAATTTGTTCAACAGGTATCTTTATATTATTTAATCTATCACGAATTTCAGTGATGGTAGGACGATTATCTGGATCACTATTCCAAGCATCACAATAAAGACTAATAAATTCAGCAGGGGAACCATCAATTGGAGTTTCACGACCATTTTTTGTTACATGTAAGACTATTTCTGAGTTTATCATTTTGTTAAATGGAGGAATACCACTTGATATTTCCCAGAAAAGCATCCCAAGACTATATATATCAGAAGGTTTTCCACGTTTAAACTTTGAATTTTCAAGATATTTAGGATCTGAATAAGCATAAGTTCCAAATTCAATAGATTTTGAATCATTTTCTAAAGATTTTGCCAGACCAAAATCAGTAATCTTTAATAAACCATCATGTACTAATATATTCTTATCATGCTAATACGTAATAAGATTTTTTTAAAAAATTGATAAATTAATATAGTAATAGAACATAGATAATAAAAGACCAAACAAAATAAATAAATAAATAAATAAAATAAAATAAATAAAGATAACACACATACAAGATCTCTATGAACAATGTTTGCATTATGTAAACAATTAATTCCACTAGAAATCTCTATTGCCATTCGAATTTTTTTTAACCAATCTAGTTCAGAAAAATGATCACGTAAATAACACCGAAGATCACCATTATTGGCATATTCGAGAACCATGTAATAAGCCTCTGTATCAGGATCTGAATACATAAAAAAAAAAGTTTCAATAACTAAATATAGTTAAATATATAATACATTTTCTTATATAATACTATGAAATAATTCTGGTTTTTAAATTATCCTAACGATTCAATATTACAGTATTGATTTTAATCTTAATATATGAAATCAAATTTAGGATATTAGGAGACACATTGTCGAGATAATGAATCGTTAGGATAATTAATTAAATTGGTTTCTTAATTGATTTGCTCCAAATTTTAAATCCACATCAACTTGGACCATTCTAGTAACAACCCTAAGTTTCTGAAAAGCTTGACTTTTAATAAATTTATAAAACTAACATACCTTGAGTGATTCCAAAGAATCGAACAATATTATCATGATGATTAATTTTAGTAATATTCTTGATCTTTTAATAAACGTTGTAGCATATACGATATCTTAGATTATATTCAGAGTTAAGAAACATGACAAATTAATGCAAACGATTAAAAAATATGTTTACTTCATTTTTAACTCCACCCAACGAACTTTCGTTATCACTAGCAAGATCATGGTTTAACTTTTTCAACGCTACGACTTTTTCAATATCTTTTGAATAAGCACTATACACAGTAGCAAAACCACCACTACCGATCATTTTAAATTCATTAAAAGACTTATATTCAAAACATTTCATAAATTTTTCTTCAATAGCACTTTCCAGCCAATCTTGTTTAATTGGCAATTCGGACATATTCATAATGTAGTTAAAAAAAAGAGGTAGAAATGAATAGATAAATTTTGTTTATGGGTTGTCCAAATATTTAAAAGACTTTTATAATTACTATCAAAAATAGGAATTTTACTTTGCTATCCTATAAATATAGTATTAAACATTAATAAAAAGCCTAGCACCTGACCAACAAACATATCATAAGAACAGTCACGAATATTTATACAATGATATCGATGTTTTTGGTTATCACATGAGCAGCGTAACTAGAATATTGATATTTCTTGTGTCTGTACGTTTTGGTGTTCCTGGTCACAATGCGAAAACATTTAAAGATCTATCAATTTACATAATTTTCTAGAATCTGGTTCTCTCAATGGGGCAACTTTTGAAATTCGACTGTTGCACGTACGTGCACGCAAAGATGTACAGTTGTACACTTGGTTATGAATTGTATCAAAACATACATTTTAATACGTAGTACGTATGTACGACAATTCATCTAATAGTTTATCTATCTTAAAACAAAATGGATACGTACACATTTGACTTTATTATTCGACTTTTAGAATAAACTTTTGAAGTCTGTGCTTGTTCACTCATTAAAGCCTGCTTCAAAATATAATGATGGTCTTTGTAGATTTATTATATAGACTTTGAGGTCTATGAAGGTTTAATATGCTGTATCTTCCGTTAGAGACTTGTTGTTAAAGACTTACCATTTAATATTTTCCTTATGGAACATGTATTTACTAATTCCGATAAAAAATTCCGTGACCTATTTAACACTATTGTAACGATAAATTCGGACGAATTTGTCTTAATAGCATTATTATATAACAATAAGGTGAAATGAAAGTAAAGTTATAAATGCAGTCATTTTGTTGTTTTTAGTAGCCTACTAGGGATAGGAACGGCCCGAGCCGGCTAATTTTGAACCGTTCCTATCCTTAATTAGTAGATTTAAGTATATTTCTGAATCTTTTACAGTATACGTACGTATAAACGTTTAATAGAATGTCCATGATTATTAGTTCATATTGCTACGTATAAATTGGTGGAACTTTTATAGTTTGACATATTGTAATGAAGGAGTTGAATACGTACTTAGTTGAGTCTAACCATAAAAATCTATACTATATTGTATTCGTAAATAATTAAAGATTTCTCTTAATTATTTGCTAAATTGAGCCCAGAACAATTAAATATTGTACAAGTAAATAAAATAACCGATTTGAATTTACAAACTTGGCAGGATCATATAATCTTAAACCTTACCGACAGCACTCAAATTTCAAAATTTCAAATTTTCATCAATATTATCGACAGATTTAGTTTGGCAAATGACAGGGTCAATCTAATCATGTTATACCAGGTGTTAGAAAATAATTAAACAGTCCCTTGTTTTTTTTTTTTAGTGACCTTATGTAGAAATTATGATTATAATGATAAGGTCGCCCCCAAAAAAAGCCCCCAACTTAGTGACTTTTCTAACACCCGGTATACAAATTAATGAATTCGGCAAATTTAATGTAATTTTACATCCGACACCGTCAATGTTACACATCAATCCTTCACATGATGTAGTTAATCAATAAACTGTTATTTATATGTAACTTCAAGTGTGATGGATATGACCCTCACTCGATGTAACATTAACGATTCCGCTTGTTACAACCGTAACAATCTATGACATTTATCACATAATTGTTTTAGTAAGTGATATTTTCTTTAAAGTGAAAAACGATCGTTAAAAGCATAAAATCCAATAAACACTTCTAAAAATATATGTTGATTGCCGTAACCATATTTCCATTAACAATAAATGAAAAAAAAGGATGAAAATCAAACTAATCAAGAAAATGCAATTAAACCAGAAAATCATGTAGATTTAATTTTTAATGCGCTTCTGGAAGATTATAACTGATTATTTATTTGAATCCAGGACGCAGCAACAAAAAATTATTGAAGAAAACAAATAGTAACAAATGGCTCGGTAGTATTAATAAAAATTTTGTGCTAATGCATAAATTAGAGGATGATAATCATTTTAAAAGGCAATGAAATATTCTAATTATACTTTTGGCTATAATAAATTTATGTTTATTGAGCTATTTGAAATAAATAAAATGATTAATTTATCACTTATCGTTATTACTTTGTTAGTCTATTTTTTTTTTTGTTTGTATTTTTTTTGTTAAGTTATATAAATTTTTAGTGTTCAATGTGATGTTCGAAACTTTTTTGAGTGGCAATTTTATCCGGTCTTTATAAATAAATATGTCATCTATTTCTGTTAAAATTAGATTTCAGATATTAACTTTATTAGTTAAAAAATTGACTTGTTGAAAATTTGCTAACACCTAAGTGTTCAGCAGTTGTTAGAATTTATAATTTAGTGGAAATAACATAATTATGTTATTTCCACTTAATTTAGGTCATGACGGTGGTCAATTTCTGTTGTCAGACCACATACAACAGTGGCCAATTTTTGTTGTTAGACCACATATGATGGTAGCCAATTTTTGTCATCAGACCACATACGATGGTGACCAATTTTTGTTGTCAGACCACATACGACAGTGGTCAATTTTTGTCGTCAGACCATATGATGACTGTGGTCAAGGTGACGCATTTTGCTTGTTAGGTCACAGACATCTTGTATACCTTTTAGAAAGTCAAATTCAATATCAATAATGTTTTAATCACTTATATAAATTTCTGTGTACGTATCAGCTTAGTATTTCCAATCGATTTTGATTGGAAAGACATATCCGATTTAGGTTATGATGCCCTAGCCTAGTCTTTCTGTGTTTTCTATTACATGCGCTATTTGATATGAGTGCGTGAGAGTGAAATCCTGTAAACCGATTTAATGATTTACTATGATCGGTTTCCAGGTTTTCACTCTCACGCACTCATATCATATGCCAGCTTAGTGATTCTGATCAATTTCCATTGCAATAAAATAGCTGAGGTAGGTTATGCTACCAGGTTGGCTTTATCACGAGTTTGATGACTGATTATGATTATGTCATCATTTGCAGAAGCAAATATATCACACAAATGCTATCGTGAATAGCACATCCTTCTTGCCAATAGCAAGGCTGATCACAGATAATCGCTTATGTTCACTATTCTAGAATGCAGTTAAAATAAATCTGCCCATATTCTAATAAAAGTTAACCAGGATGGATTCGATATATAAAAAAAGCTTTAAAAGTATTTTTATCTTGTTCCTTTATATTTATTATCCATCCGTCCTAGTTGTCCTAGTAAAAAGTAATAATTTAGGAAAAATAAAATTTATCTACTCATGATACATTTATACTATACATATGATATCTACAGTTATATACATGTGATATATATATGTTAATACACATATAATATATACTATGTATACCTATAGATAAAAAAAAAAAGGTAAGAAGATTGAAATTTTACTAGGACAACTGGGACAGTATTCTAAAACTCATTTATTCAATTTGAAATTGCTGATAGGTATATTTTTTTCCATCCTAGCTCATATTTTAAAAAAAATTTGTCCTAGTTGTAACTTTGAAAAATATAAATATTCTGCATACAACATATATATATTATTTTTCTTTTACTTCAGATGTTGCAGAGCATCAAGTAAGTTAAGTCTTCAATTTCCTATCTTGTATCATTTTTTTCAACTTTTTTTGGTGATAATGTTTTATATTTCAGTGCTTACTTGCATGTTTCTCATATATACTATATATAGAGAAAGTAATTTTATCACATTCTTTATAAGGTATACATGAAAAAATTTCTAATACTAGTCACATTTTTTAGAGTAATAACTACTTTACTTACAAACTTCTTTAGTTCTGAGAATATATTTACAATGATAAAATGTTATATATTTCAAGCATTATCTTTTTAATATAATTTTTTGTTTTGTAATATAATCAGGTTTTACACTATTATTATAAAAAATTAATTTTTATTTTGAACTTTTTTTGTACTAATAATATAAATTTACAAAAAGATGTTTAATATTATTACATCTATTATAAACTTAAAAAATTTTGAACCAAAGATAGAGGAAGACTTAAAGAGTCATTGTTTTGCAATAGAAAATAGTAAAATGTTCTATTACCAAGAAGTCAAACCTTTTTTTTAATTACAGATTTCAGAAAATAGAAAAGCAGAACAATTATTTCAATACTTATTCTACTATTTTGTAATAATTATTTAGAAATTCCAACTTGTAATAATATATACAGATTGAATGAATAAATAAAGAGTGAATAATAGGTAAATAACAGAAAAAAAAACTGCTATTATTTTACCCTATATCTGCCAAATAATGGCAGCATAATA